CGGTTCTAGAGCATATTCAAGCGCACTCTTACCTTCAAAAATAGGCAAGACGCATATCTTTAGCGAAGCGGCGTGGAGAGCCGCTTCTGGGATGCTTCTGAAAGGTGCCGTGGCTCCGATGGTGTAAACACAAGCATTGACTAGAATGGCCGCGTCGGAGACCTCCGTGAAGTTGGCACCCCATAAAAAGAAATAATCACCAAAACTATGCCATTCGTTTGCTAGAAAAAGTGCTCAAAGATAAAATAGCCTTAAGCTATACTGAATGTGAAAAAAAATTAAAATAAAAAAAATACCACAAAAAACTGATAGATAATGTTGCTATATATCAACGAGGTAAAACTTTTTATTAATATTTTGCAATAAAAAAAAACTCACATGAGCGTGTGGTATGCAATTTTAACACATTAAATTATGATATGCAAGTCTAGACATTTCATCTTATTTCATTCAAAGATATTTTAAACAAACACACCTTGGCTGTCCTTCACGCATAGCCTATTCCTCAAAGAGAAAATACAGCTGAGCAATATCATGGTTTATGCTCCGAATATTTCATCTGCAAAATGCATAATGCAATTCACATTTAAAGGATACTAATAATAATACACAATAGGCTACTAAGTGAGAAAACAGTTGATGTTAGTATTCTAATGGCACAAATCGAGCACAAATGGATTAGAACGATTTAGACTCGCAGTAAAAATAAAAAAATTTAAAAAAAAAACACGGTCTCACCGTTTCAACTTAATGCTGCTTTGAAATTTAAGCTTAGTCAACTTGAAATATGAAGTTAGTGAAAACTTGGAGCTGACTATAAACTTAAAATGTTAAGGAAGCACAAACACTATTTTTTTCAACTCTGCGGCCGCGCTAAACGGGGTGGAGAGTAAAATTCTGATTATTTCTTTTTATGGGGTGCCAACTTCACGGAGGTGCGTCGGAGCCGTAAAGGCCCGGGTATACTTCACTTTCCGCGTTCCGTTCCGTCTCGCGCACAGCCGCGTTCCGCACAGCTTTCAAAGTATCCTCAACCGCGGATGAGCTCGGACGAACGAGCTCGACACATATGCGCAGTACCACCTACTCTTGTCTCAACATTCACCTCGCGCATGCGCTGTTGTACGCGCACCGTCCGCGCGGTCTCCAAAAATTGCCTGCACGCGGATGGGTTGCGCGGGTTAGCCCTCCTGATGACGAAAATGATGTAATGCGGACGGTGCGCGGATGCGGACGGCTGAAGTACTTTGGCCTTAACGCGCCGCAAAGGATGGAAAATGCTTTTCATTTTGTTTGCACTAATAAATGCTGCTGCCTGCCAGCTGCAATCACCAATAAAACGTTGTTCCATGTTTTTTTTCTATATCGTCATAAATATCATTATCGCAAATATTCTTGAAATATCATGATATAATTCTGAGGCTATATCGCCCACCCCAGTGGACACCATAAAGCGTTGCACTGTGGTCACTCAAGGAACCTGTCAGGGTCCACAGCAGGATTTCAAGATCAAGGGCATGCGTGCACCACCATGGCTAAATTTAGACCAGCTTACCTTAACTCCTCTGCCCTTGCATGCCGATTTTGGCAAGTTAGGAAGAAATGCTACTGAATTATTAAGATCTTTTCCCCTGTGCTCTTCACAGGACATCCCTGCCAGCGAAATCTTGGTAAGGGTGAATGAGGAGAACAGCATTTAAGGAGAGACATGAATTCAGCCCATTCTCTCCAGAGCAGAATGGTAAACACTAATAAAGGAGCGCGATTAAAACGCGCAGAAGGTCTTAACAATCGCCACAGAACTTGGCATGGTACTGCCATTCCTTTTTTTACTGTGCAAGTAAATGCTTGCTTTTTAGAGCCAGCCCTCTTGAACACGATATTTCGACTTTACAGGCCTCTAACTCTGTGAAAACTTGGAATCTTGAAATAAAACTAAAACATAAGCGTTGGGTCACTAAGCTTGTTAAGACAGACTAAAAAAAAACTTTCATAAAAGTGCAGCTTGAGTACAGAGCACAACACTTTTGGACACTGTAAAACTGTTGCCAAAAACAATGTGGTGAAACTGAAGTTAATCAGGTCAGAACAAATGGCTAAATACGTTTATATGTAAAGTGGGTGTTCATATGTTAATGTACCTTGTTATTTTCCATAAACCGTCTGGATGGACAGTCATGTGTTACGTTCCAGAACTTTGTGAGCTACCTATGGAAGCAGCATTTTAAGACCACTAGAAACACTACAGCTCTGACACCGAACATTGAGACTGTAGATATTCAGCTAATACTGTTGCATTATGAAGGATCAATACAGCAAAGCACATGGCTTGAGAGACAAGCATGCTGGGAGCTCTACAGCTCTGTGGAGAGGGCATTTCAGGTCAGATGACAGATAAACAAATGAGGGTGGTGACAAGTTCTACAGATATTGGAAGCAGCAGCTGATACAGTATCCCTTGATATGGTTGGTGTGCTTTTAAATTAATAATAAAAAAGGACAGAAATTAACTATAATTGCGCTACCATTAATAATTTGCACAAATGAAAGCCAGTGCCAATAATAGTGCATATTTCTTTCCCTAAAATTCATCAAATCACGTTACTGTTATTTTGTTCACTGAAAATTTGCAGACCAATATTTTAAATGTTCTGTCATACACATTGAAGATACTGAAGATTTTTATGTGAGCAACTTATAAAACTTTGCACAGCCTTGCTAGTGGCAAATGTTTGTGCAACTGACGGAAAGTTTCTCACAAATAAACAGTTTTTGAAAGGGGTGAAGAATAAGATTTTTGTTCACTGAAAATGTGGAAAGATTTTAATGTAAAGCATCAATATTGAGATGAGATGTAGATGAAACTCCACCCCAAAGAGATGTTAAAAGTTTAACAGTAACTAGGCCGAGTTGGGATATCTTAACAGATATCATCTTGCTTTCATCAAAATATGAAACATGTTTAGTGTGAATATGCGGCAAATTATATCAATAGTTTCAGAATACAATTTCAACATGATTAAAATGCAGTTAACACAAAAGAAATACCTTGTGTTCATGAGAGTGAAACCAATCAGTTTGATTCAGTTGTGTCTATAGCCTCATTTAAATAGCTCTGACTATTTATTCTTTACAGTATATGATTTGAGTTCTCACAGCTTGAATTAGGCTACAATTTACTACATTATTTCCTACAGTAAGAAATATAATTGCACACAAAAATAACACTGATATAAGGATCTAAAGTACAGATGCACTTTCGTGTTAAGTGAGGAACGCACCTAGAATAGGAGCATACGTTTGTAACCTCGCACACAGAAATCATCTTATAGATTTGAGATCCATCAGGAAAATCCACTCGATTCATTATGCTGCGTGTTCATGCAGGGCTTTTATTTTTTGTGTGCAGAGGCCTTTTGCCGGAGATTAGGTTGCAGACAACACTAGCGAATCCATGAATTATTAGGCTATCGATTTAATTTTTATCAAACTATCACGTTTATTTTTCAAATCCAATGGTCTCAATTGAAACCTGAGCTCAGAAATAACTTGTATCCATCAGGCAGGCACTAATATAAAGTAGCCTAATAATAAATTGAATAAATGTTAAATAAATCAAAGTAATGGAGAAGCGGCCAAATCAGTCAGCAGGACACCGGGATTTTTCCTGACTGGCTGCGGGGCTGCAGGCTGTACACATGTCAATGCCGTTTACGTTCGGGTCCAGTTGGGTTCGAAATTAAATGCCGTCAGTTCAGGTCGGACTTGGGACTAATTTCATCAGTTCTGTCTTGGGTCGGGTTTTTCATTAATTTAAAGGAGACATATTATGCCCGTTTTACAATATGTAATAT